GGGTGCTGGGGGGGTATGGTGTGGCATGTGTTTTGTTTTTGTTTTTTTGAGGGGAAGCAAACTTTGGAGATGCTGCGCTTCTGCGCATGATCTCAGTGCCATGAGTTCATAAGTGCCATGAGTGAGGGGACTCATGGGTGCAATGGGGGGGGGAACTGCCCTGGCATGCGTAGATCCATTGGATCCCATGGATCTATGCATGCCAGCACATCCCCCCCCCCCGAGTGTGCCCATGAGTCCTCTCACCTGTGAACCCATGGCACTGAGATCGTGGATCTATGCATGCCAGCGCATTCCTCCCTCCTGGTGTGCCCATGAGTCCTCTCACCTGTGCAAGAGGGCAGGATCTGCCAAAGTTTTAAAAAAAGAGCACATGCCAACCATGCCCCCCAGTACCCCACTCCCCAGCTTCCCCGACCTATGGGGCCAACCAAAGTGCACAAGATGCATGCTGCAAGCTTTCCAAGCTCCGCTGACTTCTTCATCAGGCAAATCATACAGGAAGAAATAATAATACTGATGTTAAATACAGGTCGTCTTGCAAGCTTTCGAAGCTCCACTGGCTTCTTCATCAGGCAAAGGGGTTCAAAATCATACAGGAAGAAATAATAATACTGATGTTAGATATGGGTCTGCTTGCAATCTTTTGAAGCTCCGCTGGCTTTGTCATTAGGCAAAGGAATTCAAAATCATACTGGAGGAAAATAATACTGATGTTAGATATAAGTCAGCTTGTGAGTTTTCGAAGCTCCACTGCCTTCTTCACTAGGCAAAGGGGTTCAAAACCATACAGGATGAAAAAATAATGATGATGTTAATTATAGGTTTGCTTGCAAGCTTTCCAAGTTCCACAGGCTTCTTCATCAGGCAAAGGGGTTCACAATCATACAGGAGGAAAATAATAATCCTGATGTTAGATGTAGGTCTGCTTGCAAGCTTTCGAAGCTCCACTGGCTTCTTCATCAAGCAAAGAGGTTCAAAGTCATACAGGAGGAAATAATCATACTGATGTTAGTTGTAGGTTTGCTTGCAAGCTTTCCAAGCTCCACTGGCTCCTCCATCAGGCAAAGGAGTTCAAAAATCATACAGGAGGAAGAAAATGATGATGCAGACCTATAACTAACATCATCCTTATTTTTTCCTCCTGTCTGATTTTGAACCTCTTTGCCTTAAGAAGAAGCCAGTGGGGCTTGGAAAGCTTGCAGTCTGCCTCTTGGGCACTTTGGTTGGCCCCATAAAGGAGCCCAAGAGTTTGCACAGGAGCAAGCAGCCCCGCAATCGCCTGCATCAGCATCAGAGAAAGCGAGATCAACCCGCTTCTTCCTCCTCCTTTTTCCTTCCTGCGGGCCCTTTAAATTGAGCCAAAGCCTCTGGGTGCTCAGTTTGCCAGGCCAGCCTTTTGCAAGCTGCCTCTTTCTTCTCCTCCTCCTCATCCCTCCATGGTAAGCAATGGGATCTTTCCCTCTTTCTTTCATTCCCTTCTTCTTTGGTGTTTCTCTTTGTGGGTCTTTCTTTCTTTCTTTTAAGAAAAAAGGTGTGTCTAGCTGGGAGGAGAGTCTCTAAAAGCCAGGCTTGAATGGGGTCTTGCTGGGGAAACTGGAAGCTTTGCAAGTCTTTGGGAAAGTGTCCAGCAACAGAAGCTGCGTCTGCACTGCAGAAATAATCCGGGTTGACACCGCTTCAACTGCCATGGCTCAAGGATATGGGATTCTGGCAAGGGTCCAGCTGTTGGGGGGAAAAGTAACTTTTTTGCCTTCTGTTCCTTATGAACCTCCTGCCCCCTTTGGTACTTTTTTAAACACAACAAACCAGAAGGTTGTGCAAAAATTCAAAGGGTTCAGGTTGTCTTCCATAAGAGATGCAGGAGTTTTACCTGTTGAATTTCTACCTGCCCTCCCAGGCTTTAAAAAGGGAGGCAGTGCTAAATGCTGGTTGTTATTGTGTGATTTCAAGTCGTTTCCACCACAGGAAACAAAATAGGTTTGTATCTTTTCTCTTGTAATACAGGGACTATTACTATCATCATCATCATCATCTCCCCTTGAATCCCATTGTGGGAGAAAAGCAGGATATAAATCCTTGAAATAAAAATAAATAAATAAAAATAATATTTGTATCCTGCTCCCCCCCCCCAAACACTGGGATTCAGAGTGGCTTGCAGTGGAAAAGAACCATATAATAAAAAAATACACAAAAATAATGCACGAATGCATGTAAATAGAATTAAATATTTACCATATTGTTGTAATATTATTACAGCATTATTGTCCATTAGCAATGGTTGTTTCTGTTGTTATTGCGGGCCTTCATGTATTGAAAACATACAAAAGTGATG